TAGAATTGACTCACTGGCAGTGAATTTGGTGTTGGTTTTGCTACTATTGAGATTAACAAAGCAGTGCTGTTTTTTATTTTGAAGTTTTCTTTTAGCTTTGCAAATGTATGCGTCTTGCTCTCATGCAAATTCTTTTCCTCCATAACCTCATCCCCATGGACCTTATCCTCTTGTTTCCTTTCTCCTTCCCACGATTGTCAATTTCCTAAATGTTTGCAGGACTAGAAAGTGGAAATCTTGGTTCTTTTGTCAATTCATGCATTCTCTGCATTAGCAAAGAAAATCTGGGCAAGAGATTTTCTTTCCACTTTTGTCCAGTAATATACCCCATTGCCCTTTTTTGAATTCTGTCTAAATTTTTTTTCTATTAAGTTTAAGACAGGACCTACTCCTTGACCTTTTTCCTACTCTGAAAGAAGTACTTTTCTTCATGCAAGGAGACACTTAGAACTTTCTGAGGACTAATGATCTCCAATTTCGCAACAGACCTGCATTTTCTTTCCCCTTTAACTCTCTCTCCTCCTTGTTCATTTCCTTAACCCTCTCTCTGGCTCTCTTCCACTTCAGTTAAAAATGTTTTATTGACCAAGGGTTGTGATTTCATAAGAGGGTCATTTACTTCTCAAAAAAGAAGTGCAGATGTATATATTACCTGTCTTCAGGAGGTAGGAAGACAAGTTGTAAGTTTGCAGGAATTTCTCTCCAAGTGTGCAGATAGAATCTCTAAATGTTTGCTGGTGTTTTCCTGCTCTAACTTGTTGGTGTTTGCTCATCACTCTATTTGAGGAGGCATTGTGCAAGCGATGGTGAGATACATACACCTGAGAGTAGTCATTCATGGGCTGCTGGCCCCAGAAGAAGCCTGGCTCTTGGGTGATCCAGCACACTAACATTATTAACCCACTCTCCTAGGTTGTTTCCACCGAACCTTGATAGATAAAAGGTTTCATGGACTGAAAGGACTTTCAGTTTTCTTTTAATTCATTTTATGGTGGCAGACAGTGCTCTGCTATCATAGACTCGTTTGGAAGTAGTGATGTTATATGGAAAATAGTACCGTAACATTTAGTGAGTGCATGTGCAAAGGGCCAGTAGAGTGTTTGGTAGAGACAGAGCAGCCTTCCCAGATGATTCACCATGGGAGCTGAGACTTGCATAATAAGGGCTGGAGTATAGGATCAGGTGTGTGAGCAAGGGCATGAAGAGCGAAGAGAACCTGGCACATTTGGTCATGGAATTCAAAAAGGTCATTGTTGTCAGAACAAAAAGTCTGAGGAAGATGAGAAGTGGCTGGAGATGTTGTTGTTGTTATTGTTGTAAGCGTCATTGAGTTGGTTCCAATTTATAGCAACTCAGTATAGGGTTTCAGAGTAACGGCTGAGGATGGACAAATACCCTTTGGATCATCGAGGACCTTGAGTGACATATAAAGACAGACTTCATCCTCTCAGTGATGGGGCACTATTTAAGAATTTGACCCTAAAGGTGCTGGGTGAATTATGGTCATATGAGATGGCCCATGTTGGGTGGATTACTTGGCAGAAGTACAGACACTAGTTGGAATGCTTCTTAGCTTTTATATCCCTCGGTTGCTGCTTCTGCCAAATAGCCTAGTATTACTTGCTGTCCAAATGTTTATAGACTTTTTTGAGGATTAAAGAAATAATGTATGTAAAAGTACTTGAAAACTTTGTTGTTGGTGGTGTTAAGTCTGAATGAAAACAACTCATGCACAACAGAAGGAAGCACTGCTCTGTCCTGCGCGATCCTTGAATTTGTTATGTTTGAGCCCAGTACTAAAACCACCGTGCCAATCCAGCTCATTGAGTATCTTCCTCTTTTTCAATGACCTTCCCACTTTACCAAGCATGATGTCCCCAAGGGTTGGTCCCTCGTGATAACATGTTCAGAGTATGTGAGACAAAGTCTTAACCATCCTCACTTCGAAAGAACATCCTGTCTGTACATCTTCCATCACAGATTTGTTTGTTCTGGTACTTCACGGTAGATTTAGTATTCTTCACTAATACTATAATTCCAAGGCACCGATTCTTCTTCAGTCATGCATATGAAGTGAGGTGATTGAAAATATCATGGTGTGGGTCAAGTGCTCCTTACTCCTCAAAGTGACATCTTTGCTTTTTATTACTTTAAAGAAATCTTTTGCAGCATATTTGTCCAATGTAATGCATCATTTGATTTCTTCACTGCTGTTTCCATGGGCTTGGATTGTAGACCCACGTTAAATGAAATCCTTGGCAACTTCATTCTTTTCTCGGTTATCATGATGTTGTATATTAGTCCAATTGTGAGGATCTTTGCTTTCTTTATGTTAATATGTAATCCATACTGATCATCATAAGTAAATGTTTCAAGCTCGCTTCACTTTTAACAGATAAGGTTGTATCATCTACATGTTCACAAGTGATTAGAGTCTTCTTTCACTTGTGATGCAACACTCTTCTCCAGATAGTCCAGCTTCTCAGACTATGTGCTCAGCATGCAGACTGAATAAAGTCTGATTTTACATCATGCAGTATTCCCTTATTCTGTCCAAATGACTACCTCTTGGTCTACATGCAGGTTCTCCATGAGCACAATTAGTGTTCTGGAATTCTCATTCTTTGCAATATTATCCATAATTTGTTGTGATCTGTACAGTTGAATGCCTTTCTGCTGTCAGTCAAATATAGGTAAACATCTTTGGGTATTCTCTGCTTTCAGCCAAGATCCATCTGACATCAGCAGTGTTATCCCTCGTTCCCTGTTTGCTCCTGAATCCAGTTTGAATTTCTAGAAATTTCCTATTGATACGCTGCTGCACATGTTTTTGAATTATCTTCAACAGCATTTTACATGCGTGTGATAGTAATGATATGTTCAACAATTTCTGCATTCTGTTGAATCACCTTTCTTTAGAATGGACACAAGTATGGATCTCTTGCAAAATTTCTTGGCATAGAAGAGTGAATACCTCCAGCGTTGCATCCATTTGTTGAAACATTTTAATATTTCATCAATTCATGGAGTCTTATACCTCCAACGTTGCATCCATTTGTTGAAACATTTGTTAGTATTTCATCAGTTCATGGAGACTTATTTTCACTAATGTCTTCAGTGTAGCTTGAATTTTTTCTTTCAGTACTATTGGTATCATATGCTACCTCTTGAGGTGGTTGACCATCAACTAGTTGTTTAAACATGCAGTCAAGTGACTAAAATCTAAATGTTGGAAACAAAGAATGATTGATAGTTAGTAAATATGACCTTTGTAATAGAACTGATGCTGGAGATCACCTGATAGAATTTAGCAAGACCAGTGGCTTATTCATTGCAATAATGCTAGTGAAGTAGTCAAACTATTCTCTGTACTTCTAACAAGTAATCCATATAGCATAACACATTTAATCTTTTTTCCAGAACATAAATGGTGGCTACATGCATGGGCCTCACCAGATAGATTGCATAGGAATTAAATCAACTACATTTGTGGACAAGACGATAGAGAAACTCAATATCATCAATCAGAGCAAGGCTTAGGAGCCAGCTGTGGAACAGTTCATCAGCTACTCATATGCCTGCTACAGTAAAGATTTACAGCCTCAAAAATCCCATACAGGATTGCTATGAGTAGGAACTGACTTGATGACAGTAGATATGGGTTTTTAGCAGATTATAAAGCAGTATGTGCAGTTGTTGTTAAGTGCCGTCAAGTCGGTTCTGACCCATAGTGACCCTGTATAAGGTTTCCAAGGAGCGACTGGTGAGCTTGAACCACCGACCTTGCAGTTCAAACCAACTTTGCAGTACATCACATTAACCCACAGCACCACAACAGGACTCCAAAGCAGACATCTTTCTCCCTTAGAACAGTTGGTGGGTTTGAACCATCAACCTTTTGGTTACTAGTTGAGCGCTTAACCACTGTTCCACAGGGCTGCTTCCTATATGTGTATTATGACCCTAATAAAAAATGTATGAAAAAGAAAAAAGAGGGAATTTATTAAAAATATATGTGTGTGTGTGTGTGTGTGTGTGTGTGTATGTTTCTCGTTGAATGATGAAATTATGAATGTTTTATTTGTGTCTGTTTTTATTATAAAAATATGATGAACTTATTTCCATTGTCCCACAGTAAAAATGCATTTCTAGGAAGAATCATGTGAATTGTCATTGTGTTGATGTTAAAGAGGTATATGAGGTGGTCATCATCTTTTGATTGTTCACGCTGTTAGGCTGGCTTCTCTGCCTGTCAATACGCCTGCAGGCCCATATTTTCCTCTAACCTTGTGCTGATCATATGTTGTCATCATTGACTCCTGTCTCTCTATCCTTGGTGTCTGATTTAATAAATGTTCAAGGAAGGAAAGATGGAAGCAGAATGAGAATGAATGGGAGAGGAAGGGAGGGAGAAAGTAAATAGCCTATGGACATACAGGTTGTAGGTTATTGTTTTTTTCTGTTTTTAGGTTCACTTTATTCCTCAAGATATCCAAAAGAAACTAGTAGGTGACAGATCGCTTGTATAATTCTTTATTTGAATTCAGAAAGCAGAGCAAAATAAGCCCTGAAATGGGTAGAGGAAAAAAAATTACATTGAAGTTGTTCTTCTTTAGAGAAGAAACACATTTTGCTGTGGGAAAATTAGACTCAGAACCATTTATCTTTAAGTTTTGATTGTGGGGAATAAAAAGTATACATAAAGGAATTTACTTATATAAAAAAAAAAAAAAAAGGTGTGAGGTTCCTAGATTTACAGAGGTCAGAGTGACGCTTTCAAAAACTGCTGTGACAAATGAAGGCTATTCATCAGAAAAGGCTGCCATGCTGGCGCTGCTCTCCCTTACCTTCTACCAGCAGATGTGGGGACTATCTGCTGGTCCAGCTGTTCACATCATACTCTTGTTTAAACATTTCATTTGTTTGGCGTGGGAAAGTCAGAGAAATAAGTGTAATGTAACTCCCAGGTTTTTTTTGTTGTTTTTTTTTTCTTTTACCAGGAAGGGGAGCAGTTTGTGAAGAAAATCGGTGGCATTTTTGCCTTCAAGGTGAAGGATGGCCCTGGGGGTAAAGAGGCCACCTGGGTGGTAGACGTGAAGAATGGCAAAGGATCAGTACATCCTAACTCAGGTCAGTGCAACAGCCGCCTTATTTATATTAGAGCCCCTGACAAGTTCACCAAGGCCGACAGCCAGGACAAAGGGGTTTGCTGTGCTGTTCCTGAGTCCCCAGTAGTGCAGCCGTTAAAATGCTCAGCTGTCAACTTACAGGTTGATGGTTCCAGCCTATCTGGAAGCACCTAGCAATCTGTTTCTCAGAAATGGGTCAGTGAAAACCCTACGGAGCCCAATTCTACTCTGATACATGCAGGGCTGCTATGAGGCAGAATTAACTCAATGGTAACTACTATTGGTGTTCCCCAAAAGGGCTAGCTTTAAACTATAGTGATTCCTTAGGAACAGAAAAGAAGTCTGCTTTATTGATTTTTCCACATATCATTTATTGTCATCTGGTATATCCTGTGATACTTATATGCCTAGTGTTCACCTCCCCCACTTGAACTGGAAGCTCCATGAAGGCAGGCATTTTTGCCTGTCAAGTTCACTGTTGTACTCCCAGTACCAAGAATAGAACCTGATTCATGGGAAGCTGCCAATAAAATAAATAAAAATGAACCTCAAACCTATCTTGAATAAATGGTGCTTAGTAAGCACTTTGGGAGCACGGTGGCTCCATAGGATAAGCTCTGGACTGTGAACCACAAGGTTCGCAGTTCAAGCCCACAGGGTGCTCTGTGAAAGTAAGATGAGGCTTTCTGCTCCCACAAAAGATTTAAAGCCTCAGAAACCCTCTACAGGGTCACTATGAGACAAAACATCCTCCATGGCACTTACTAAGTGGTAGCTAGATTGCACTTTTAACGTTTCTTTAATGGACTGAGTGTAGTGTAGAAACATGATGGGTTGGGACTAGCTTTTTGGAGGACTTGAAATACTGTGCTGTGAACTTTGAATGTTATTTGATATATAGTAGGATAAGGAAAAATGTTTTGCTTTAGGGTTTCAGTTCCTATGTGCACTGATTTATTCCAAATAAAACCTATTTAAATATGTCTCTGCCATCAGTAGATGGCTGTACACAAGTCCTTTCACTCATACACTTGTGTAGTCTTGGTACGCTGCCTTAAAAAGAGTAACAATTTTGAGGTTAGGGCTGTTACCAAGTTTTTAACAAAACCCAAGTGAACATCGTATTAACTCACTAAGTTTTCAGCAAGTTTACAGTTTTTCAATGAATCCAACATTTTAAGAAAGGTTGGGAAGATCTCAAAGATGAGCAAGGCAGGGAGGTTAGCCCAGAAGGTTATGGAAACTGGTTTGGAGGATTCCAACAGGGTAATCTTGATAGATTTTCTCCAAGGACACAGGAAGAATACGAGTGCTTGGTACGAAAAAGTTTTAAGAAAATTTTAAACTACATTGGTTTAAAAAAAAAGGCCAGGAAAGCTATGCTGAGGAATTTTTCCCCATCACCACAATGCACCTGCCCATACTTCAAGGGTAGCAAAGACTGCCCTATGAGCATTTCTTTGCCTGTCCACCGTACAGCCCTGATCTTGCCCCTTCAGACTACTCTTTGTTCTTCCAACTCAATGAACATTTAACAGGAACGTGATGAAGTCCATAAAGAATGCCAAAATTGCCATTTTGACATAATGTAAATAGAAGAGCACAGAATTTTTTTTGGGGGGATGCATTAGAGAGATGGAAATACCACCTTCAGAATTCTCTAGACCTAGATGGAGAATGAAGCCCTGGTGTGGTACTATGGGGTCATTCACTAGACCCCAGGGTTGGTTAGAACCACAAGGTGGACGGTTCAAGCTCACCAGCCACTCCTTAGAAAACCCTGTACAGGGTCGCTATGAGCCAGAACTGACTCAACAACACTTAACAACAACAACATGGAGACTATATTGAGGAACAATAGCTTCACATGTTAGTATTTTTGTTTCTGTGATTTTGTAGCAAGGTTTTGACTTACCCTCATATAACTGATCCAGCAAAGCTCTTTAAATTGAAAAATAAAGTCAGAGCTATGTTTTAGGAGAAGATGTTGGTACCTTAAGCCTGATCAACTGGAAAGGGAGCAGTTAGAAGCAGGAAGAGCAATTAGGAGGGTGGATGTTGCAAACAGTCTTGTAAGTATGCACCTGTGCCCGAGTGTTGGCAGTGAACAAATAAAGCTAAGGATAGATGCCAGGGGTACAGAGGTGTCACTAATGGCACCTGGGAGTTGTGTAGGAGAAGGAGATCCATCAGAGATGGTAGAGTTTCATTATTAATCCATTATTGAATGATCTCTTAGAGAAGAGAGTGGCATCAGGAACAAGGTGAGAGAAGGATTAGTCATAGAAAGGCGGAGGGAGGACCTCTCCCTCTGAGATGGTAGATAACTATCAGGCATTTGGAGGTAGAGAGGAGGTTGGCAGAACTCCTGGAATGGAGTTTAGAGCTTGAGACGATAAAAATTTGAGCATTGCTGTTATACGCTGTTGAGTAAGGAACCCACTAGCGATTAATGAAGAAAAAGCTGAGCATTTGGTGAGGTCAGTACGGCTTTGTTGTGGAAGGTTCCTGAATTATATGGAGTCTTTTTTTTTCTTCCCCCAAAATGAATGGACAGAAAATGACTAGATGGTAGTATTCTGTGAGCATTCTCTGATACAGGAAGGAAATCAGAATGCTTCAGCTAGATTCTAGCTTTTAGAAGTCAGAAGAACTTTTTTTTACAGTAGTGTGACTGAAGGTTAATAATGCATAGTGACATCAGGTTTATATTCTGACATATGCCTAGGTAGGTGTTAAAGTTATTTTAAAAACTTCTGTTTTTTGTTTATTGTCATAAAAGATAATATTCTCAAAAAAAAGAAAAAAAAAAAAAATTCTCTGAAGAGCTCTTGAATAGTTTCAGAAAGGACTTGTCTCCTCCGGGTAGCCAGCAGTATGCTCTCTTCACATTAGTGCCCTGTTCCAGACTCAAAGGATCTTGCCCTAGGGCAGGACAATTTGTACTGAAACTGACACCTGTTGGCAGCCAGGAGTGGTGTTGAAATACGGACTTATCCAGTAAAAGCCACCACTGGAAAATGCCAGCTCTTTTTACATCAACCAACAAATGACCGTTTGTTAGAGATTAGCTACATGAAAGCTGTCATAACCTGTCCTGGTTTGAACTGGCATCTTAATGAGAATTGTTCTTTTATAGTTTCAAGAGGTTTACTTAATGTTAACCAGCTAAGATTTATGTGAATGTATTATGTTTGTTTATTTTTGAGTGAGCTTGGTTATTATACACTTGGTGGTTATATTCAGGACTTTTAGACTGTACCTTTTCCTAATCTTTTCTTGTTTCCTGAATACCTTTTAGTACCTTCTCCATGAATCCTGCTCTACCTCTTCCCCTTTAAAAATGACTCACATAGCATATCTCCAGGAAGCAGCTTTGATAAATCTCACAGGACACTCATTAGCCCCTTTTTACACTTACTCAACCTTGTCCCTTTGTGGGGAACATGTTACAGAAAGTCTCAGGCTTCCCCCTCCCCACACCTAAACCTGGGTTCAGATTTTAACTCTTGTCCTTGCCAGGTGTACGCCTTTCCTGAGTCCATTTGTCACATCTAGAACATGGAGGAAATCATTTTTATTGTTGCTATGGGGATTAAATGAGATAGCAGTTATAAAGCAGTAAGTCACTGCTTTCTCCACAACCCATGTATTAAATGTCTTTTGTTCTATATCTATCACACAAATAAGGGGCCCTGGTGGTGCAGTGGTTAAATGCTTGGCTGCTAGCCGGAAGGTCACCAATTCCAACCCACCAGCCACTTCACAGGAGAAAGATGAGGCAGGTTGCTTCTGTAAAAATACAGCTTTGGAAGACCTACGGGGCAGATCTACTCTGTTCTGTAGGGTCACTATGATTTGGAATTGACTTGATGGCAGTGAGTTTACCACACAACTTTTGCCAAGTTCCCTGTAATCATTAATTTTGCTCGGATGCATTAGACTTGTCCAAAAGGACTTGGGGGACTGGCAGAGCAGCTGGGATCCATGCTGATGCATTGACAAGACCACATTAAAGCAGAGCTGTTGAGTGTATACCTTTCCTGGACCCAGAGGAGGCAGTAGAACATCGAAGGAGGGAGTGTGGCTTTGGCAGCAGGAATCTGCATTCTGACTTAGCTTAGCCACTTGCTAGCTCTGTGATCTTGGCCAAGTTATCGATCTGACTTCTTTGACACCCTCGTCCAAGAAACAAAAACAGAAAAACCCCCAAATCTGTTGCCGTTGAGTCAATTCTAATTCATTAGGTACTTTCTAGGACAGAGTAGAACTTCCCCATAGGGTTTCCTAGGCTGTAATATTTACAGAAACAGACTGCAATATCTTTCTCCTGCTGACCCTCATAGGGTTTTGAAAAATCAAATGAGACTAAGTATGTGCTCAGCCTAGTGGGAGTTCATTAAATGCTGATACTCATCAACAGCAATTGAAGCAGCAGAATTATCGCTGAAGTCGCCTTTAATAACTACAGGTATATTCTTGGAATATTAGGATCAAGCCCAACTACAAAAATGTCAAGTTGCTAACTTTTACTTCCTGGTCTTTAATGTTATATAAATAATTAGATTGTCATTTTCAAGGTTTCAGCCTTTTTAACTAGTAATAAGAGAAAATTTGATTAGAGGTAGAGATAGGATGACCATTAGAAAGACTGTCCCCAAGTTACAAGGCTTATAATAAAAATACTCTTTTCTATCTTGTGTTAATTGTTTTATCATAAGGACATGGTATGCCTTCATAGTTTTCACCTCCCTCCACCATTAAAACATAGATTTTCTGACTAGTTCTTTTTAAATAACTTTTTGAACTCCATATCATCTATTCATTTATTCACTGAGTATTCATCAATTGCCTATGTATGCCAAGAATTCTCCAAGGCCTTGGGATTGTACCAGTGAACAGACTGAAAAGATCCCTGTCCCCATGAAGTTTTCATCCTAGTGTACAAAATTATAGACACAAAACACATAAACAAATAAGGTAGTTTCACATAATGGTAAG